TTCTATGTTCCGATCACCGCCTATTCCTCGCCAGTACGAACTTCAGACGATCTAAGTGCCGGTAAGCCACTTGGCGTCCTTCCTCGATCCAGCGACGAACGCAAATCAACCACATCACTATAATCCACAACTGATGGGGTTGCAACCCAGACTGGACTACTTTCTTTGAATCCGACCACGCAGTAGTTTGCGCCAAGCCGTCTATGGGCTTCTGTGGGCGTTCCAAACGCACAATACAACGACGGTTAGAATCTGATAAATTGTCCCAACCAGCCCGCCTAACTATCTAAATGCACTAGCTGAAAAGCTAGAAATCACCACACCCAATAATATCGATTAGCACTGGCAGTTTATCAAGAATGCTTTGCATTTCGCTGGCCCAGCACATCGTGCCGTAACTCCCTGGATTTCTGCGGAGTCTCTACGCTTTCTTGAGGCTCGACAGAGTGATGACATCCTTGTTTTGCTCGCTTGGTCTTGGTCATTTCGCCGGTTCAGGTACATGTGTAGATCAACTTGGGCCTAAGTAATGGTATGGATCCTACAATAAAACTAGTCATGTTCCAACATCTGCCTGATTCGGAAGTTTTACAACTCTTTTCTTGTCATCGAAGAACTTATTCATTGGAATAGAGAGAACCATTTATAATGTGCACCAAAGTTCATTTGTAGCGCAAAAAACAAACCTTGCATAAATTTACTCCATGACCAACACTTGAAGCACACTCACCTTTGGTTGCCGTCGACTGTGCGCATTCTCTTAGCACTCACGTCGAATAGCTGGGAGGTTTGTATTTTTGGAACATCCACTAAACTTCTTTTGAGCAACAGTGGTCCAAAGTGATAGTGTCACGTCTAATGGAAATGAAAATTCGTCCCTGCATCCAATTACTGTGATATTTCTGCTATCCTTTCATTCGGCATTGCTTTCCACATTGGTGAATTTATTATTCAACTTAATATTGCACTTTCCAACTGTATAACTTGTTTACTGAACAGACATTTGAAGTACTTCACATGACCTAGGTTTCGATTTAAACACTAACTGTTGGATTAACCGTTACTATCAGTCATATATGATTTGTTTTGGCAGTTGCGCTCCGCATAAGTTTTCTCGATCTACTAAGGAGCACCAAATTTCTTCTCATTTCAGAATTATCGGAGAGGTGTTTTGGATTAACCATTTAATGTTGTACTCGCATTATTGGTTACTTCTTGGCAGGACAGTGATTACGGCTCATTACCAGAGACACGATTGTCTCGTGTATTTATAATAGCTGTCGAAAAATTTTTGTCGCCTTGGTTCTCGATAGCTGTGGGCTACATGTTGCTCCGAGGTTGGACTAGGTTATCCAGAACAGGCGAAGAGTCATTTGATCGATCGGATATAGTCAAAGACTTGGTTTCCTTCAGAATAGGAGACAGGCGTTACAGATAGTGTCCAGTTTTTCAGTTTCAGTCTGAACAACCATTAACCATGCACTTTCGTGCGCCGGTTTTGGTTGCTGTCTTTTGGCTGCCCATTGGGATGAACAATAGAAGAAAGGAAAGTTGAAAGTGAATTCGAAAGGAAAATGGAGAAGTTCAGTGGATTAAGGTTGGGAAGAAATTGAGATGCACGAACGCCACTGTCCACTCGTTTTTAAATAAAATATACTTCATTCCGTAATAAATCAACTACTCTTGGTGAAGGACTGAATGCCACAGATCGTGTCAGAGTCGAACACAGGAGGACTATGGCCACATCACAATTAATTTACCAAAGATGAGCAAGCTGATGTGTCGCGTACGCCAGCTGATCACGATGTCGTAAGCCTTATTACCTTTTGCTTCATCAGACCAATCGAGGTTGACTACTAACTGGATCAATTGCTCGCAACAAAGAATCATCAGTCGACCAATGGCCTGATTGTAGGGAATATCGCAATGAGCATTCAATGAGACAAGTCACTCACACACTATTCTTTCGCCAGTTTATTCACAGTGTTCGAATCTCCCTTCGAAGCTAAAAAACTTCATTCCTGATGGACGGGCATCGGAGTAGACCCGGTCCTATAGGTGAGCGTTTTGACTGTCGAGTTGTAGAATACCACCAATAAATTAACTTGAAGTAGCAAACGGTTTTGAATATCTATCCATCGGCTGCTTCCGGTTTTTCTTAAGATAACGAAAGCGACTCGAGGTTGAAACGATGGATTAGGAAGACCGAGAAAATCCGAAATTCAAGTTGTCACATTTTGTAGCAGAAACATGGGATCGATAAATATAGTTAACGACATCAGAGATTGGAACTTTGGAATAACAAAATGAGGATAGCTGGTAACAGGTGGACATTGCGGGACATTTGGGGAACGTAGTAGGGAGCTCAATTGGCTTGATAAGGCATTAAGTTCAAATGCCTCAATTTCTGCAGCATTCGGACAATAATTATCAGGACCAAGTCCCCTTTCGGAATCGCAATCAGATAAGGAAGAAGCAGTGTAAAAAAAGGGGAAGCATCAGTCACGGAGCATGGAACGAAATACCTAAGAAAACAGATCGTAAAATTGTTGACAAACCATAAAACAAGCTAGAGAAAAACAAAAGCAATGTTTTGTGCGCGGTGTTCTTCCACGGGAAAATTTATTGTAAAAGAAAAAAGACAGGTTAAGAGTGGACCAGTGGGGTAACAACGAATTAAATGGTAACTAACATAAACAGTTAGTAGACTGGGGCGCAATCCAGTGAGTGTGATGCAGAGTACGATCGGTATGGAGTACGCACGCCAAACTGATGACTTGAAATGTGCTTATGTGGAGATTCGATAAATTCCGCATTCAGGCTTTTGGTAGACGATTTGCGTTGCACCGTACCGGAAACGCGAGATGCCAGATGACGCACATCCATTTCCGCAATCATTGCAGAGTGTGACAATTTTGAGGTCGAGTGTTTCCGTGCCAGAGTCGCGGGTGAAGCCAGAGAGGGCACGGAGGATTGACGCGAGATGGATTTGAACGGACGACGATACCTGTGTGTTCGGGATTTGGTCGTCCGATCAGCATGAGATTCCGGGGTTGGAGGAAGGAGACTGAGCAATGAGGCTAAAGCTCTTGGATTTGCTGTTGTCGGAATGTGTTTCGGAAGCTAACAAGAATAGACAACAAGAGAGAAAACTGTAGTCGGAAATAACGGTGCTGCAAATATAGTTCACAGAAATTGTTTACCGTCAATAAGGAGCAGACGGATGTTGCGTCCCAGTAGGAAAAAGACGAATTATCATTGTTCGCACTCTGTTTGGTTCGTTGTACATGTTCATGTTCAGCAATATGCATTCTGAACCAGTCAAAAAACGACTCCGGTATTCTAAAAGCTTCTAGAGAGTGAACACGCGGTCCCTTGATGTATCATACCAATTCAACTAACAAACGTATCCTTATGAATCATGTCACCGACCGAAACTGTTTTAAAAATTGCCAGGGATGTAGCAATAAACGGAATATTCTTCAAGACAGCGGAGATTACTGCACCACTTCTTCATGTAGACAGATATCCCGTGATCGGTCTGAGCACCATTTCAGAAATCTATGCAATCCTATATTCAATGACTGAAACAAAGTTGACAACGATAAAAGTTATCATCATCATGAGTGGATGTGAGAAACAACCTTAGCGTGCTTGTTTCTTCTGCTAAGTAAATAGCAGATACTGGCTGCCACGAAGATGACTCCGTCAGGTAAGACATTAGGGAACGAAATCCATGTGATAGGATTATCTTCTGTACCAGAAAAGCTATTTGCCTCGAACAGATTGCCATAAGTCGGTTAGATATAATCACTTGAAGGATCCTAGGTGATGATGTGCAGGATCGTTGGCACAATGGTATCACAAAACATTTCTTCTGGCTCTCCCCCATCAGCATACTTACAGGGAATGTCAAAAATTACAAATATAAAGTAAACAGAATGATCGAGAACTGGAAAGATTTTGTAACTTAATTAGACACATGTTTGAAGGGACTGATTGATCGTTCTAAAAAATTAAAAACAATGCATCTGCATCGGTGCACTTCCTTTCGGCAAATGTATGAACAGACACAACATAGATTCTGTGAAACGTTCGCCGTCTGTCCCAAACAGATGCGTGATGCCTCGACAGGTGTAAACTAAATAGACAAACCTCAATCGAACCGAATGGATCTCCAGAAGTTGTGGTTAAAAAAGGAAGAAAACAGACAGTACAGTATATCAAAAATGCACGGAACACTACAAGAAAAACTTCTTCAGGAGAATGAGTTTGCGAGGATGCGCCAGCGAACGTAACATCCAGTTCAACAGTGCTAAGCAAACATAAGCTATAAACAGTTGATCAGTTGGTACAAACAGGGAGGTTTTCCACGTTTTTTCACATTCCAAACGATTGGAAAATGTGAAAGTATGGTTATTATTCCAGACACAGCTACGTCTATAATCCAGATTAATTCGTCAAATACAAACCCAAACACAAAGTAATGAAAAATTATGCGAAACGTTTACATCACCTGATGCTCCACAGGTAGACGGTGATTATTTTACAACGGAAATCACATTCTATTAGAAAACCTTCGAAGATCACACAAGGAAAACCCAAATAAGCGACATTGTGGAGTGCGTCGGATAACTAATACCGCAGATGAGGCTTAACTCAACGGGCCGCACCAACGAGGGTGAGCAGTTTTCAGGTCCTTTGGAATTTCAATAACTATCGTCCTATCATCCTCATTGTTTTCATTTCGTAACTATCTGAAACCCTCATCACCGACCGACTGAGTGCGATTCTCAAATACTAAAAATTTACTGAATGACCGTCGATATGGATTTGACTCTCGTCGCTTCCCGCAGATGTACTTCCTCTAGCATCACGCACTCGATAACCAAGGAGAAATTAACTTGGACTCGTTCGAAGTTCCAAATACCTTTGATTGCTGTGATTACAAGGTAAACCATAGTCCCTTGATTTCTAAGATTTATAACAGGTAATGAAGGATCGGATCTTTTCGTTAAATGCAGCTGAACACAACATTTTAAGCCAGTGGTTGTTCAATCCAGATTATCAAAGTCAAATGAACACTAGGTTTAAGTGGAACATAGTCTATCTGCTTCCTGGAGTCTGAGGCCAACGTTCACTTTAATCCGATTGATGAACACCTTAGGCCATTTTGTAGATTCTCAGTTAACTAATTGCGATACAGAAATACATCGGATTGCGAAATGCCACTACCACCCCACAGCCCTGCCCCTGATATCAATGATTCGTTGTTTGGTTGCGAAGCAATATATTCATATTGATCTTGGCTCCGCTAATTCAAGCATAAAGATTGTCCACTGAGCACTAACAAACTTTGGTGTCAGGTTTTCACGAGAAGGGAGAAATAAATGATCAAGATTTGCGTGTGTCCAAAGGCAAACTTTTCCAATTAAGCAAATTTCAATGGACCCGACAAACTGTCCACTTTCATTAGCGCTTTGATCATGATCAGTCCTTGCACTTGAAGGGACTTTGACGGATGCACAAACAAGCATACAACCGTTTACTGGCTAAATGGTCTGCATTGAGTGGATGTGTTCGATCCACTCAAGTCTCGTTCTACGTAGTATCCGTGGTCCACTCTTCCTCCAGATTCCATGTGACTATCAATTGGGAGAAAAAAATCTGTATTGAACCAACCAACAAACATTTCTGAAGCTGATATTCTAAAATAAGGATATAATCTCGGCTCAGAGAACCATCATGTGTTGGTAATAAAGACTTGAAATAAAATTGGAGGAGCCCTGATGAGATCTAAACTGATACAATTAAACTCATCAATAAAACGATGATCTCCGGATTTATGATACCCAACCGCTCGCGATAGATTATCGAAAAAACACGACAGCTGTAACCTATATAATTGTACAACGTTCATTCAAGATTTAATCAAAAATTAAAATCCCGTGTAAAGTTGTCTCGGAGAGGTCTACGAAACAATCAGTCAGTAATACCTTGAGATTTGAGGTAGAAGCGAGCAGATCACGAGTTCTAGGCACATGAACTGCTAACTTGCATTCATCAGGATTACACATAACGAGAATTATGATTGCCTTCCTTTTTGGGGGGTAGGAATGTGAATCCCAAAGGCTGATACGAAACACTTCATGACAAACTGTGATGCTTAGCAATTTGAATAAACGTCTGTCTTGGATAGAAATCAGTCGTTTTAAATAACGTTTTAGCACACAGTGCATATTTGTATCACAGGAGTTAATTTGGATTGGAGGTGTCGCTTTGAACATGCTGGCATATTCTCCAACTGTTTTGAATTCAAGTCTCTGCCTCCCAATAGCAATGGTT